GCGGAATTGGCACGGTGCCGTCGGCGAAGCCCTTCAGCCCGGCGACCTCCAGCTGAGGTTCGATCGATCCCCTCCAGGTGATGAGGTCCCGTCGACCTTGCAGCGGAGCGAGGGCGATCCGGTCCGGCGAGAACTTGAAGTACCCATACGCCGGTGCAATCCCGCCCGCTGTCACATGTGTCATCACCGAGAGCCCTCCACCACTTCGTGGAGGAGAACGGCGTCGAACATCGACGTCGGCATTCGAGCTTCCTGCAGTGGCCGTCGACCGCTGCACTCGCGCCTGGATTCCGTCGACACCACCGTCGAATTTGATCACTCCTCTCTGCCTCGTGCCTTCGCTGCCGTTGACTCGTGCACCACCGTCGACATCGACGTCGACGCCACCTTCGTTGCGCACCGGTCGAGGAGAAGTAGGACGGGAAGGGTGTTCCGTCGCCCACTGCGATCGGATGCCCAACTCGGCGATCATCAAGGGGATCGTCCCGTACTCGCCATTCGCGTGGCGTCTCCTCGCGTCAGCCAAACGTGCCTCCAAGGTGTCCGCTACACCCGCATCAACTACGGGGTCGACCATGGCGAATATCGCTGCTGCCGGCCTACGAACGACTTAGTAGGTGCAGAAGTCGGCTCCTATCTGAAGGTCGCGTGTTCGATCCACGCTCACCGCACCATGTGGAGATAAACTCTACAACGGTAGTGAGCTAGACTACAGGGGTTGGCACGAACTACTAGAGGTGATCTTAGCTTTGCTTGGTTCCTTAGAGCTTGCACATTCACGGAAGAATTTTGGCAAGAGTTTTCACTAGCAAAGTTGGAATTCCAGAATCATACAAGAAGAACTGACAACAATGACTACATCAGGCGCCTAGCAACCCTGCAGCTAGCCTGGTCGACCGCCAACGCAGCTCGGTCGACTGCCTGCCAACATTGCGTAGAGGAGCCGCGCCAGCATTGCAGAAAGGGCGACCTGCCAACAAAGCAGGTCGACGGCGTGCCCCGTAGAACACAGCAGTGCGCGCGCTTGCAGGTGTGCGCAGACGATTGGCCCGAGTTGCCTCATTGGGCATCCGTTGGCTGTTGTCTGCGCCTGACGAGCCACATCGACTTCGGGATACCAGCCCGAAGTCGCCTGCGCCATCGCGATCTCGACGACGTTCGCGTGCCTCCGCAGAACTCGTCGAGCAAGTTACCCGGTCGACCTGGTCGACCCCTGGTGCTCTGGTCGACTCCCAGGTGCCTCCCGTCGACCACTGGGTCCCTCTGGTCGACCACCGGGCGCTCCTGGTCGACCACACCTCACGTCAAGCTACCCCTTGGTCGACGGACCCCTTCCGTCGACCAGAACTGCTCCGTCGACCTCCCGGTCGAACTGCAGTTCGACGGGCTGCTTCGTCGACCTCTCGGACGGCTCACCCGTCGCCCAGGCCAGTCAGGTGCAGCTGTCGAGCTTCGTGGTCGACAGCAACACCACAGCGGTCCGCTGCAGCTCGACGTAACCTGTCGAGCAGCTATCCCACTGTGGGCGGTCGGCTGCCACTCCCGTACATCCAACCAAGTTGTCGGCGTTGCCCAAGCGAGGGCGGGGCCAACACTCCTTTCCCGTTAACAGGGCAGACTCAGGACTAGACCTGGACGCTGCAGCAAACACCTGACCCGATGCAGCTACCAGACCAGACGAAGGGATGGAAGGAGACTCAGTGGTCAGGGTATAGAGGCTCGACCCCGGCCGAAGCGAAAACGTGGCCAGGTGCCGGCCTGTGCGAGCGTCCGAGCAGTGGGTCACCCGCTGACTCGCAGTAGTAAACTGGTGAACCCCCGCATCCTGTAGGTCAGCACCACTCACCAAGTTCGTAGAGAACGAGGGGAGGTAAAGACCAGACAAGGTGCCAGAGGGGGCTGCCGGACACAAGAGGACAGTGGAGAAGTGCGAGAGGACAGGACCCCAAGAGGGGTCTGCCAGAGAGACTGCAACCGGCCGACCAAGCGGCGTGAGTGTGGTGCGGTCTCGAAAGAAGGAGCGAGAAGCCCCTGAGTCAAGTGTGAAGGTGAGGGAGGCCGAGGCCGATGCAGTACCTGAGAGCGCAGACTCACCAGCACCTGAGGACGCAGACGCAGTGGCACCTAGAGCAGCAGCCTCACCAGCACCTAGAGCAGTAGTCTCAATGCCCGGGTCGGGCGGGAAACACCGGTAACAGTTGTCAAACATTATATATGTTATGCTTGTGTAGGCTACAGTGGGTTAGCCTATAGGGGGTACACAATTCTAGGGTTTACTACTTGTACTCTTTTCACTTCTAGTTCATCCATTCCTGTTCGCTTATTCTCACATGTCAGACCAGACAAGGGGACGAGTCAGAGGTGGGAGTGGGTCAGTGGACGGAGGAGAGGAATAGTATGGGGTGGATTCGTCAAAGACGACATCCCTGCTGCGAATTAGTCGACTGGAGGGGGGGTGGAGGAAAAGATAGTCGGGGGAAGAGGGGTTATGACCAAGGAAGATGCAGGGAAGGGTACGAGGGGCAAGTTTTCCTAGGGAACGGGATCGGTCAGATGGGTGAATGAGTACATATGCCTTTGAGCCCCAGACCCGAAGAGGGGAGACATCGGGTTTGTCCTTTGTCCATAGCTCAGTGGGGGTGGTGGAGGGGAGGAGGGGGTGAGGGTAAAGGTTAGTAAGGAGGGCGGCATGAAGGAGGGCGTAGCCCCACAGAGAAGGGGGGCAGGAGGCGTGGACAAGGAGACACCGATCCGTTTTGGTGATCTCCCGAACACGGCTCTCAGCGACACCATTCTGCTGTGGGGAGTGAGGGAGGGTGTAAGTCTGAAGAATGCCGCGGGACTGGCAATAGGAGGAGATCTGGTTGTTAAGGAACTCACCACCACCATCAGAGTGGAGGCGGCGAATAGGGCGCCCAAAGTGGGTGTTTGCCTGTTCGAGCCAGGCAATGATCGCAGTCGGGGCGTCCGCCTTCGTCCGAAGGAGAGAGACGGACGAGTACCGACTGTGATCATCGACGAGCACGAGGAGGTAGCGATGGCCTTGGCGAGTGGGGGAGGGGTTAGGGCCCCAGAGGTCCATGTGAACAAGATCAAGTGGCTGGGCTGCAGCGGAGGGGGAGCTCCGGTGCGGCTGCTGCTTGAGCTTGCTCTGAACACAGACGACGCAAGGGGGGGCAGGGGACTTTGGGAGGGGAGGGAGGGAGGAGGGGAGACCGTGGAGGAGACCGGAGGATACAGAGGAGCGCAGAGTGGCGAAGTTGGGGTGACCTAGCCTGTGATGGAGGAGGATAGCAGGGTGGGAGAGGGAGCGACATGAGCAGTCAGAGTCAGGGGGGCGGGGGGGGACGGGTGGGTTAGTGGGAGGGAGGGGAGGAGGGGGGGGGGAGGAGGGGGGGGGAGGCAACTTGGAAGGTGAAGGGGCGAGGAACCCGAAGGGTGTATAGACGGGAGCGGTGACAGTAGGGAATGCGGGCGAGGAAGCGACCTGTGGAGGTTTGGAAAAGGTCACAATGGTTAGCACCTCCTGGGGTGACAGTGGTGATCATGGATTGTTGGAGGGACCTTTGGGAGAGGAGGTTAGTACGAAGGGAGGGAATGTGAAGACCTGTGACGGTACCTGAGGGAAAGAGAGGACAGGGAAGGGTGGACGTGTTGTGACAGGGGATGGAAAAGCTGCTGTCAGCGCCGAGGAGGGACGTGGGTGTGGGGAGAGGATGGAGTTTGCCAGCATCGTGAAAGACATTGTCAGTGGCTCCACTATCCAAGACGAACTCAAGGGTGGAGGAGGGTGAGGCGGAGTACTGAATGGAAGTTTCATTAGTAGCAGGGGCATACATAGGGGATGCAACAGAGGGAGGCTGACTAAGCAGACCAACAAAGCCAGAGGAGGGAAAGGGGGTCACACTACCACCTGTGGACGGCGAAGGGGAGGGACCGGAGAGGTGGGCCGCAGAGGCTGCATTCCCAGCGGTCCAGCCGGGAAACGGTTGCTGCTGGGGGACAGGAGGAGGAGGGAGGAGAGGAAGCTGGGGCTGGAGGTCGAGCTGCTGCTGGAGCTGCTGAAGCTGCTGCTGGAGCTGCTGAAGCTGCTGCCCGTACTGCTGCGGTCCCTGCTGCTGGACACTCTGCTGCTGCTGCTGCTGCTGCTGCTGCTGATGCTGCTGCTGCTGCTGCTGAGAGGGGAGAGCAAAGGCCTGGTGGGCCTGGGAGGAGGAAGGAGCGTAGAGGGGAGAGGAGCGAACGTCGAGGGGAGTGGGGCGGGGATTAAGGGAGGACCAGCGAGGAGGGGTGCCAGAGTTCCCACGAGCGAACCACTCATCGCTGAGTGCCTTAAAGCACGTCTCAGTTGCATGAGTGGTTTGGTTGCAGCGTTGGCCTCGGGTGGGGCCATAAAGGGGAAGATACTGACAGGGTGGGAAGGCCGCTGCTGCACCACGACCCGCACCACCACGACCGCCAGAGCCGCCTCGACCACCTCCACGCCCACCTCCACGCCCCCCTCCACGTCCGCCTTTGCCGCTGCGCTGCTGTGCTACCGCGGCAGTGGAGGAGGAGTGGCGAAGGATTTCTGCCCCGGTGGTGATAATCCACTGGGCAACTTGAGCGGGAGTGTCATGTTTGGAGAGGAGTTGCATGTAGGCCAGCTTGTGGGCATCAAAGGCAGGAGTGAGGCCTTCGAGGAGGTGGCAGCAGATGACGGTGTCATGGTAAGTAACACCAAGTGCTGCAAGGCGGCGAGCAAGGTCAAGGACGCGGCGAGTAAAGGCGGCTGCGCCGGCAGTGGAACCCATGGTGATGGATCCAAATTCCTTGATGAGGGCATAGAGGGTGGCGATGTCCTGCCGGTCAAAGAGGTCGACAAGCAGTTGCCACAGGTGGGAGGAGGAGGTGGGTGAGAGTTCTCGCTTGAGGGAGGAGGGGATAGTGGCGAGGAGGATGGCGAGAGCTCGACGGTCAGCCATGCGCCACGCAGCGATGTCGGAGGTGTAGTTAGCGAGTCATGTAGTGTACGTGGTGAGTTGGGTGTGGTAGTCGCGGTGACGGGCAGCAGCCTCGTCGTAGGCGCGCTTGTCGTCCTCATAGCGCAGTTGACGGCGAAGGTGGTCGTTGAGTGTGTTGCGGTAGGCACGGATGGCAGTTTCTACGCTTTGAGGATTGTTGACATCCGGTGCGAAGGAGGGAGGATCACCAGGGGGCTCGGGCTCAGGTCCGGGCTCATCAGGAGGAGGTCCGGTGGGGGCAGAAGGGGCGATGGGCTGGAGTCCGCCTTCCTCCTGGAACACGACGGAGCGGAGTGTATAACCACTGACGATGACCGAGGAGAGCAACACCTCGACGGAGTGAGCATAGGAGTGCCAGTTGGCGGCCGAGTTGTCGCCGAGCAGCTCGAGGGCGTCAATGGTCGCTAGATCGACCGAGGAGTCGGATGACGCCATGACGGCGGAGGGGTGAAGGCGCCGCTGCTGCTGTTGGTATTGGTGCCGCCGATGCCGCTGCTGCTGCCGCCGCCGATGCCGCTGCTGCTGCCGCCGCCGATGCCGCTGCTGCTGCCGCCGCCAATGCCGGTGCTGCTGCCGCCGCCGATGCCGGTGCTGCTGCCGCCGCCGATGCCGGTGCTGCCGCCGCCGCCGATGCCGCTGCAGCTGCCGCCGCCGATGCCGCTGCTGCTGCCGCCGCCGGTGCCGCTGCTGCTGCTGCTGGTGCCGTTAGGGGTGGAGTAGGGGGAGGAGGTAGAGGGGAAGAGAGGCTGGTGCGGAAGTGCGGGGAGGAATTAGGGTTTCGAGGTCGTGGAGATCGCGGGCAGGCGAACGCGACGGCGGGCAGATCAGCCGCGGCTGCGCGCCAGCCGTCCGCGTCGGCGCAGGGGCGTTGACGGCCGCGCGCTGGCCGTCCGCGGTGGCGCGCGGTTCGTTCGTGGCCGCGCGCTGGCTGTCCGCGTCAGCACGCGGCTCGTCGGCGGGGCCGCGCTGGCAGTCCGCGTCAGCGCGCGGGTCGTCGGCGGGGCCGCGCTGGCCGTCCGCGTCAGCGCGCGGGTCGTCGGCGGGGCCGCGCTGGCCGTCCGCGTCAGCTCGCGGGTCGTCGGCGGGGCCGCGCTGGCCGTCCGCGTCAGCGCGCGGGTCGTCGGCGGGGCCGCGCTGGCCGTCCGCGTCAGCGCGCGGGTCGTCAGCGGGGCCGCGCTGGTCGTCCGCGTTAGCGCGCGGGTCGTCGGCGGGGCCGCGCCGGCCGTCCGCGGCAGCGCGCTGGTCGTCGGGGGTCGCGCGCTGGCCGTCCGCGGTGGTCGCAGGTCGTCCGCGTCGCCACGCTGGTCGTCCGCGTCGGCGCGGAGGTCGGCGCGTCGGCGGGCAGATGGAGACGTGGCGGCGGGAGGAAGGATAGCTGCCACGGGGGAGCGGTTTGGGGCTGCGGGAGGGAGGATTGAGGCTTCGGGAGGGAGGATAGAGGCCGCGGGAGGGAGGATTGAGGCCGTGGAGGAGGAGATCTACGCCGCGGAACGCTAGATCTGAGGTGCGGGAGGCGGAACTGAGCCGCGGGAGGCTAGATCTGAGGAGCGGGTGGGCCGATGTAGGTCATAGTCCGCTAGGGTAAGGGAGCGGGGAGGGAATTACAACATGGGGATCGAGGGAAGGTGGCGTGAGCCATTTGGCTCTGAATACCATGATAGAATTCAAGAGTGGTTGAATAATGAGCCATGGAGGCTCTATAGTACAAGCATGCAAGCAAGAGAGGGGTGAAGAAGGAGCAAACCCTATTGGCCACTAAGTTGGCCAATGGGGGAGATGCCTTGTGGAGTAGGTAACCCCACAATGTTGCTAGGTTGTGATTGGCAGGCCTTAGGACCAAAAGTTGGCAAGTGTCAACCAAGGACCAAGACCAAACCCAACCTTGACCAACCACAAAATGTGGTTGGAGTGTACACCCAACCCCCCAAGAACATAAAGAGCTACACCATTCTAGCCTATGTATGTTGAATATAAGATACAGTTACAACATCCGCCTTGGAAGTTTTTGCGTCTGCTGGCTTGGAAGGCGCACCAGCGACGGACCATGCCGCAACGTGGAATGAGAAGGTATTTTGGGGCGCCTTGAAGCTTCGACCTGGGGTTTGGATTTGAAGAGACGCGTTTCGCGCAGGGTCGTTTTGATTCGATCCGATCCGATCGAGGCTTGGCAAGGAAGAAAGATAAGATCGCGATGCGATCCGGTGTGCTTGAGGTATCTCACATGTAATAAATCTGGAAGTCGAACCGACAAATGGCCGCGACAAACGAGACAGGACTAGCCATAGCGACCGGCGGGCTGATCTACGCGAAATGACGTGAAAATTCATGAATTCCTTTCTGTTGCCTACGTCGAGTCTGTTGAACTCTTCGTGTATGCGTGAATCCTCGCTAACCCTAACTGGCTAGTGACGCGAAACGTGAAGTTAAATTCGTGTGTACGGATTTGATAATCGAAATCTGAAGACTAGGCGACGATTCTGCCAATGCAACGATGGCGCGGTGCGGACGGAAAAGCCACTACGGTTCCATGCACGGCTAGCAGAAACCGCCATCGGTGGACCCCTGAAATTGGGCTAGGCACACAGTGTTCATAAATTAGGGTTGAAAGCTGTAATGGTTATCAAACAGTACAGAACTCGCTAATGACGAGAATGTGACAGAAGGCTCCTTATACTCGCGAACACTCTTGCTATGCGAAAACCTCGGAAACCAAGGTTTGGGAGAAGGCGGAATCGAAAGGTTCGGGAGCGACACGAGTCAGCTTCGGTGCTGTCACATCGCTCGAGCCTGATCCCCGTCATCCCCGTGCCAAACAAGGGTCTTCCTGAAATACCAAACCGAACGAGTCGTCCTCCAAACCGAATTCTCCGCCTAACCACATCAATTCGGTTTGCCAGAAACATTTTTCCGGCCTAGCCTGGCGTGCTAGGCAGTACGAACTTCCCTTCGGCACGGAAAAGCTAGGTTAGCCGTGCCAGACGTACGCCCCGTGCCAGACTTCACATTCCTTCTATTTTTGCGAATTCAACGGAACGCCGCTCTGTTCGGAGCTTCGCACAATGCCGTAGCGACATGAACGAAGTCGGTAACTCTTTGAATTCTGCTGTCAGCAGGCAGAACCAGATCCAGGGCAACTCGCCTCTGCGGTCTCCGAGGGCCTCCCCCCAATCACCTTGACGAGCAGCTGGTCAAGCAGAAAACTAGTATCAATCAGAGCATAGTAGACGTACCGTACATCGTAGAGGGCGCAGCTTCCCCGTGGAAAAAGGATACCCGAATCGCCTCTACGAAATTAGTACGCACGGTGTACCCATCATCTTTCGCGCATCCTGTCCTCTCGTCTCTTTTCTGACCCGCCCGTATTTTTGCCTCCTTCCCTCTCAAAATCTCTAAGCCTCGCCATCACTCAGGACGCACCGCAGATCGACTTACTCCGCGCCGCTGATGAGTCGCTTCGAGGGCCGCGGAAGATTGTCTTTAGGAAACTCTAATTTAAGGTAAGCATCCCTATCGTTTCCTCAATCGGGCCTCCGCATTGCAAGCCTTGCAAGCCTGAGCCCGAGGCTCACATCTTACGAATCATGGTGCTCGTAGTTGTGTCAGAGCCCGGCATCTGCAGCTTTAAGTTACAACTTTTGCAGAGCCCCTTTGCGCATTGACCCCGGCCCCTTGCTGTGCTGTGTTTCCTCGCCCTGGTTCATCGAGACCCTCACACTGTCACTTACTCAGGCAATGGCCGTCCAAGCCTGATTGTCACCAACCGCGTTGTTAGCTTGGGCTCTTTCCGTGCTGCTATTTTTTCGTTAACCTCAGTCACCATGCTGTCACTGACTTGGGCTCTGATTGACCTAGGCTTTGATTGGCCTAGGCTCCGATTGACTTGGGCTCCGATTGAGCTAGGCTCTTTTTGACCTAAACTCCGAGTGATCTAGGCTCTTATTGACCTAGGCTCCGTTTGAGCTAGGCTCTTATTGACCTAGGCTCCGATTGAGCTTGGCTCTTTTTGACCTAGGCTCCAATTGAGCTAGGCTCTTATTGACCTAAACTCCGATTGAGCTAGGCTCTTATCGACCTGGGCTCCGATTGAGCTAGGCTCTTTTTGACCTAAACTCCGATTGCTAGGCTCTTATTGACCTAGGCTCTGATTGACCTAGGCTCTTATTGACCTAGGCTCTTATTGACTTAGGCTCTGATTGACCTAGGCTCTGAATGACCTAGGCTTTGTCGTAGGCACTTATTGTTTCCCCGGCCCTTTTCCGTTCTGTGCTTTCTCACACTGTTTCATACACTCACGTTGCCACTCACCCAGGCTTTGACCAACCTAGCCTGTGACTCACCTCAGCTTGTTGTGACCAACCTAGGCGGTGAGTGACAAAGCATGTGACTGATATTGCTGTAACTGACTGAACATGTCAGACCTAGTTTGTGAATGACCTATGCAAGTGCGCAGACCGAGTCGATTGGACTCGAGTCGAGTCGGCCCTAACTCGAGGCAACTCAAGAGTCAGGTTGACTTGACCTGGTAATGTGGCTTTTCAGTCACATAAAATGTGTGCTTGTAGGTCGATTTGGCTGGTGGTTTAAACACTATGGAGGCATTTATGCTACAGTCATGAATTACTATGAGCTGAAACGAATTTCTTGGTGGTGCTAAAATACTAGGAACAGCCTAAAACTAATTGTAGGTGCTAGAACGACCTAAAGCTGATTATTACCTGTGGCGATTGTAGCCTATTCACTTGACCTTACATTTTTCTTTACCACCGTTGTTCCTGAGACTTTGCTGCTCTGCTCGTTCAACTCACTTCATATTTCTGATGCCACACTACCTGCGTACCATTCCACCTCTATGTAACCTAATCAATGAGTGACCTAGTCAGTGAGTGACCTAGCCAAACAGCCCTTTAGCTCACTCGTGCTATGGCATTCACTGTCTCCCTTGCCCTCTACTTTCAGATCCCCTAGTTGCGTGCTCTCTCCGGCTTTCCTCGCCTACCTAACTGCGTTACGGAGAAGAGCTTGCAGAGCCAGAAATGCATGTTCTATGCCATTCAGGCTGAGCTGAGCTCGTCGCTTTGTGCTCATTGCTGCTCCGCATCCTCTTGCAGCATCCCATCTTGCCCCTTTCCTCCTCTCGGGTTCCCCTCTCTCTGGCCTATTCCTGTTGGTTCTACTGCCTCGTTTTCCAACCCTCACCCCACCTACGTGTATTGATGTCATGGTGTGGTGGGAGTATCAATACTTGTGAACACACTTATCACACATTTGTTTTGAAAGTCCTCAAAACAACTACGGTTTCCTCCCCTCCTTTTCCTTGCACTACAAGTGCATTTACAGGAATAACATTTTTCTTTACCACCGTTGTTCCTGAGACTTTGCTGCTCTGCTCGTTCAACTCACTTCATATTTCTGATGCCACACTACCTGCGTACCATTCCGCCTCTATGCACCTCTCCAACCTGGTCTGGTCATCTTCTCTCTTGCCTGTCTTCTCAGGCTCCCCTCAATGGTCCGCTTGTTGTTCTGCTTCCATTTCACTCTTTCAGCATACCGCCGCTAAACACGAGCATCAGTCATTGAAGATATGGCTGCTGAAAGGGTGATGGGTACACTGATTTATGTGGTCAAAGAGGCGGTGCTGGTAGCAGTGAGAGAGGAGCTGGCTGCACACAAGGAGGTGGAAGAGTTGCGGCAGCTGTTGACTGCTGTGGAGGAGAGGAACGAGGTGATTGCTGCTGCGGTGGAAGAGTGGGAGAGGGAGCTGGCTGCAATGAAGCGGGAGCTGGCAGCGGTGAAGGTGGAGTTGGGAAAACACGAGCAATGGGCTGAGAGTGCTAGGCCATTGACCGTACGAGGGATGGGAGGGAAGAGTAAAAAGAGAAGGCAAGAAATGCCTGCGGGGTTTACATGGGAGGAGGGGAGGAGGGGGGAGCAGGAGTTGAATCGGCCACATGCCATGGAGGTGATGGCCGCTTGTAAAAAAATGCGGAGGACACGAGATCTGAAGTTGAACGTTGAGGTGAAGAAAATCTGGCGGAGTAAAGGCGGAGTAAAGGCGGAGTAAAGGCGGAGTAAAGGCGGAGTAAAGGCGGAGTAAAGGCGGAGTAAAGGCGGAGTAAAGGCGACCAGAAGTCTGCATGGGAGGTAAGTGCTGGCTGGGTGATTTGTTTGGCAGGGCGTGCATTGCTTGCTAGTTCTTTCTTGTCACTGTGATGTGATGTGATGTGATGTGATGTGATCATCCCTTCCCTTGCCATGTTCTCCTTATCTCCCTCCACCCATCCATCTACTCCAGCGAATCAAGTCAGCATTACAGAATCCCAATCTGGACCTCATGAATCTCCACACCCTCTCAGACGCCATGCTCGGCCATGTGTCTACCATGACACATCTGACGAGCATCAACTTGTGCTCTACCTCAGGCTTCAGTGCAGAGGGCATCAAGCACCTCTACAGGCTGCCTCAGCTGGAGAAGCTATGCCTCACAGACACAGATGTCTCAGACAATGCCTTGGAAGGCATTGGGTGCTTGACCATTCTTGAAATCCTCTATCTTGATCGGACCAACGTGACCAATGCTGGTCTCCCGCACTTGACAGGTCTTTCCTCTCTCAAAGAGCTGGACCTTTCCAGATGCAAGGGTGTGACTGCTACTGGCATGGAGCAAGTGGGAAGGTTGACCGGGCTTGAGAAACTTTGGCTACATGAGACGGTCACAGATGCTGGTCTGCCGCACTTGACTGGCCTGTCCTCTCTCAAAGAGCTGGACCTTTCCAAAAACCAAGGTGTAAGTGATGCTGGCATGGTGCATGTGGGAAGGCTGACTGGGCTTGAAGGTCTTTGGCTGACTGAGACGGCTGTCACAGATACTGGGCTACAGCAACTGGCAGGCCTATCCTCTCTTATTTTCTGAACCTTACCCAATGCGATGTTGTGAGTGCTGATGGCATGGTGGAGGTGGGAAAGTTGTTGGGGCTTGAGGAGCTTGTGCTGGATGGAACGGCAGACACAGATGCAGGGCTGTGGCAATTAACGGGTCTGACCTCTCTCAAACTGCTCAGCGATTCTAAATGCACGGGTGTGGCAAACGCTTGCATGGTGAATGTGGAGAGGCTGACAGGACTTGAGAAACTCGTGCTGGATGGAACGGCAGTTACAGATGCTGGGCTGCAGCACCTGACAGCTCTATCCTCCCTCAAACTGCTGTACCTTTCCGAATGCGAGGGTGTGAAGAATGCTGGCATGGTGCATGTGGGAAGGCTGACAGCGCTTGAGAGGCTTGATCTGGAAGAGACGGCAGTTACAGATGATGGGCTGCAGCAATTGATGGCTCTATCCTCTCTCAAGGAGCTAAGCTTTTCTAAATGCGATGGTATGACCGCTGCTGGCATGGTTGAAGTGGGAAGGCTGACAGGGCTTGAGGAGCTTTGGCTACAAGAGACGGCTGTCACAGATGATGCGCTGCAGCAGCTGACGGGTCTCTCCTCTCTCAAGGTGCTAAGCATTTCCAACGGCAAGGGTGTGACAAGTGCTGGCATGGTGCATGTGGTGAGGCTGACAGGCCTTGAGAGGCTTGATTTGGATTACACGGCCGTTACGAATGATGGGCTGCAGCAGCTGACTACCCTGACCAAGCTGGGAACCCTCTGGACCCCAGAAGGGGGTGAACTAAAGAATGATGCTGTGCGCAGGTGGATATGCGTGTAGGGAGTGATGACGGAAAGGGAGGTGAGGTGAGAGAATCTACTGTGACTGCCTAGGGGAGACTGAGGAGAGGAGTGGATGCAACGGATGTGAAGAATGAGGGGAGGCATGCATGTGGAGGGGTGAGGCATGGAATGATGGTTGTGCACGGCTCAACTTGCATGCTGCAGAGAGATGAGTTGGAGAATGGTTGTGTGGAACTGGTGCCTTGCAGTTGGGCAGAAGCAGGAGCAGGGCTGGTTGGGCCAGAGACCCTATGTGTGTGAAAGGAGGTGCTTAGGAATGCTTGCCTGGCATTTCGTATGATGGAAGGCCAGCGGTCAGAAGCAGGTCGGACGGGGAAGGGGAAGGGGAGGGGAGAGGCATGCAAGAGAGCAGCAGCAGCGGCAGCAGTGGCTGCAGCAGTGGCAACAGCCGCGGTAGCAGCGTAGGCTAGGGAAGGAATGGAGTGAGTGGAGGTGTGTGCAAGTGGGCTGAGTCAGTTTCTGTGCACAGCAGAAGGGTACCATTCCCTTGTGTGAACATATGCCCTGACATCATACTGAAACGTGTTATTCTACGGTATACAACCACGTAGACGATGCCTACTGTTGGGGATGATGGAGAGCTGTTGCATGCGGGGTAAGCTCCGACTCCTCTCGCTGCCCTGATGTTCGGAAAAAAGCTAGATTACTCCCTGCTTGAGTCTTCTGCCATTTAGAAAAGTTATTCATCATACTGTATACAAGCTTCCACCACATTGGTTTGCATTAAAACACAGGCATGTACGCATGCACTCTCGTTATGTGTTGCAAACAATTCACCATCTTCTGAGGTTACCGTATGTCTCTCCACAGCTCTCCCCAATGTGCTGATGTGCTTCAGAAAGCATTGCTCATGTACTGGATGGCACCTGAATCTCGACAGCTATGGACAGAAGCTGCCACAACTGCAACCTCCTTACTGCAGCCCCACACTCCAACCACTGAATGCACCCCCCATGGCCTGTTACTATGCACCCCCCCCAACTGTATCCCTCTGTGCTTGAGAGGATTCTGCTGCGAGTGAGTGATGGGCAGGCATGGGTGCATGAGAGGGAAAGGACCGAGGGAAGCCAAGTGATTTAGAAACGACAGCGGAGATGTTTGTGTAGTATGGGGGATGTGATGAGATGTGAGATGAGGTGAGGGGGAAGGCATGGGGTGGTGTATTGCACACTGATAACATGTACGTACAGTATCTCTGCATGTACTTGTCTACTCTTTGAGGTGCCTAGAATAACCTGCCGCACTCAGAGCTCCACTGACGTCTGAGCTGCAAAAATATCTCTGCACTCTCCCTGCAAGTGAGACACGTGCGAGTCGATGCAGGCTGTAATGTTCCGGTGTAGATGGAATTCCCGTTGGCCTTGAACTATGGCTTCCATTCTAAGGGCGATCAACTCCTTGGATTGCCTCCAATGAAATCAGGCACGCATGAGTCGATGCAGTTGTCGAGCTAGAGAGGGACAAAGTGCGGGAAGGATTGGGGGAGAAGGGAAAAGCGGGTAAGGAATGGGGAGTGAAACTCGGACAGAAGTGTGGCATGTGCGAGTCGATACAGTTGTGCAGTCGGTGGGGGCCCAAGGAAGGGAGGGAGGAGGAGAGGGAAGGGAGGAGGGGAGACAAGACATGAAAATAAAGGGTGAGAAGACAGGAGTGCAAACAGCTGGTAGAGAAGGCCGACACTGCCCATCAACGCTCCACATATATGCTCGAATATTCTCAGCTCCAACAATGGACTCATGAGTCACAACAGGTGCACCACATCTCATCTCGCCCACACTGCCACTCCACGCCACCCCATAACCTAACCCCACCACCCGTCACCCGCCAGCCACATTTACCTGAAGCCCTGTCTGCTGCATCAAGGGAGGCCAAAAGGGTAAGGTAGAGCTGCGGCCTCCTTGACGCTGGTGGCATGGTTTTGCTTTTGAGTCGACTCAAAAGCAGACTCCTTGACGCTGGTGGCATGGCAGAAGGGCACGCCCTCCGGAAGCAGGCACTGGCTCTCGATGAGTGAGGACCCGTGGGACCTCACATTCGTGAAGGGCACGCCCTCCGGAAGCAGGCACTGGCTCTCGATGAGTGAGGACCCGTGGGACCTCACATTCGTGAAGGGCACGCCCTCCGGAAGCAGGCACTGGCTCTCGATGAGTGAGGACCCGTGGGACCTCACATTCGTGAAGGGCACGCCCTCCGGAAGCAGGCACTGGCTCTCGATGAGTGAGGACCCGTGGGACCTCACATTTGTGAAGGGCACGCCCTCCGGAAGCAGGCACTGGCTCTCGATGAGTGAGGACCCGTGGGACCTCACATTCGTGAAGGGCACGCCCTCCGGAAGCAGGCACTGGCTCTCGATGAGTGAGGACCCGTGGGACCTCACATTCGTGAAGGGCACGCCCTCCGGAAGCAGGCACTGGCTCTCGATGCTGGACAGATCGGAGATGCATCAGGTGCATCTGATGAGCGGGGGAGGGGAGGCACACGGATGCTATGCAACGAGAAGGGAAGCGGGAGGGTACGGGGACGGAAAGGGGAGGGAAAGGGGAGGGTATGGGAGGGGAACGGGAGAAGGGGAGGGAAAGGGAATGGGAAATGGGGGAGAAGGGGAAGGAAGAAGAGGGGAAGGGGAGGGGAAGTGGAGAGAAATGAGAGGGGAGGGGGAGGAGAAGCGGAGGGAAAGGGGAGGGAAATGGGAGGGGAATGGCAGAGGAAGAGGAGGGGAAGGGGAGGGAAAGGAGACATCAAGTAGAGGGAAAGGAGAGAGGAAGAGGAGGGAGCAGGGATGGGGAATGAGGGGAATTGTTGTTGGCTGTTGTATTAAGTGAAGGCACGTCCCACTAACCCATTCATGGTTGCGATAATGCCAGCACAATTCCCATGCAAAAACCATGCATGGCAAACCATGTACACGAATCACATACCATGAACGCATCACACCATGCACACTCCATTCCATGCACATGCACGCATCGCGCTCACCCATTCACCCATCCACCCATGTCCATGCGCACATGGCATCCAGCCATCAACCCATCCACCCACCCTGTTCACCATGCATGCGGCTGCGCGGGATCTTGGCGTCACTTGCCGCCTCTGCTGCCTCCTTGCCTCGCCTCAGCTGATCTTCCTTCTTCAACGCCTCCGCCAGGTCGTGCCACATGCCCACCAACACACTGTCCGCCGCACCAGTGGGCAGGAGCTGTTTTAAAGAGGGGGAGAAACGAGGGGGGGTGGGAAGGATGCGCAGGGGAAGGGAAGGCGTACGAAAGCAGGGCAGCAAGGGACGCAGGCATGAGCACACGAACATACTGTCTGCTGGGTGTGAGAGGGAGGAGGACGGGAGGGAGGAGGCTCAGAAAGCAGGCAAGGACAGCAATGGAGGCAGGCAGGTCTGGGTCACAAACAAGCTGTCAGCTCCGACGCACATTAGCAAGTGTGAATGAGGCGAACAGACAGGAAAGGCAAGAGGGAGGAGGGGCAATGGGAAGGAACAACAACGCATGGCAGCAACGTTGTCAACACAAAGGACATGTCACATGCAGCCCACATAGTGAACACCCACGATGCCGACAGGGTAATGCACCTGTGGAGGCAAAGGCGGGCCCGGCCCTGGCCAGCCTGGGATGAGCTGGCCGCAATCAAAGGCAGGGCGGGTCCCGGCCCTGGCCAGCCTGGGATGGGCTGGCCGCAATCAAAGGCAGGGCGGGTCCCGGCCCTGGCCAGCCTGGGATGGGCTGGCCGCAATCAAAGGCAGGGCGGGTCCCGGCCCTGGCCAGCCTGGGATGGGCTGGCCGCAATCAAAGGCAGGGCGGGTCCCGGCCCTGGCCAGCCTGGGATGGGCTGGCCGCAATCAAAGGCAGGGCGGATCCCGGCTCTGGCCAGCCTGGGATGGGCTGGCCGCAATCAAAGGCAGGGCGGGTCCCGGCCCTGGCCAGCCTGGGATGGGCTGGCCGCAATCAAAGGCAGGGCGGGTCCCGGCCTGCCCAAGCCAAGCTGACCTGCTGGGATGTCGATCCGCGGGCCGCCAGATGAGGGTGGGGCGTCTCTGCGCTGACCCCGGCCAGGGTCAGTCCTGGTAGGGCCGGTCCCCACTCGGCTCGCTGGCTCCCTACTCCTGTCCACATGCCCTCCTACTTCCGCCCACACCACCTCGCCCCTTGCCCCTCTCCGCTACCTCCTGCCCTACCTACACTACACCTATTGTCAAGCTGAAACTTGGGGGAGAGCGCAGGTGAGCCGCACCTGACGGGCCAGTTTGGAAATTGAAGCCATAGCGGAGGAGAAGGGCAAGCAGGGTGCCGTGCAGTATCGGGTGGCTCATCGCACGCTGTGCTCAACGGGGGAAAGGAGAGGTAGACGAGACGAGACGGGAGGAGAGGGAGACCATAGAAAGGGAGGGTAGGAGACGAGACGGGGACAAGGGGACTATTGTTGGAGAAGTGGAATTCGGAGGGTAACGGTGCGAGTCAAAAAGAGTAGGCAGGCAGAGCGCTAAGGCAAGGGTGAACGATGAGGAGCAAGACTTATGGGAAGAGAGGCATGTGGTCGTTGGGAAATAGGCGCTTCTTACCAGAGATATCAGTAGTAGCGCTCCACAGCAGGGGCGAAAAGGATGGAGGGTGAGGACGGAGCGATGCCACAAGAGGCACGGGATACTTACGAAAGGGAATAATGGTTCACAGCATGGAAAACAAGCCAGAGAAGTCTGAAGTGATACACAGAGCTGGGGGCTTGACGGGGGCGGGGCGAGCGAGAATATGGCAGGGAAAAGGGCATGAATGAGAGGGAAGGAGGGGGGCATCACATAAGTAACGTCATGCATGCCTCGCACTCCCGTCTGTTTATTCATCTCACCATTTGCTTCTCTCAGATATTTCCATCGCAGTCCTCAACACGCCCGCTTCCAACCCATCTCGCGAGCGAGCGAGCAGCGCGCCAATGTGGGGAAAACGCGGCGCATCGAGGTTCCCGGGCTAGGCTGCACCCCAGCTCGTTGCTGCGAAGTGCCATTTGGGAAAACGCGGCGCCGGGTCAATTGCAAGTGCATGGTGTCCCAGTGGCACTGCGACGCGCCTTGAGATGATCCCATCAAGCTCCCTTCCACAGAGAGTCGCTCCCCTAGGCCTTCAGCTCTTCAATGGCATTGCTTGCGTTCCGGATCATCTCGCGCGGCGAACATTTTATCGGCACATCCTCGGAGCTGCGCTATGTCAGCCAAGGCGCGTTTCGCGGGACACTGGAACGGGCGACATCAGTTCAGATCCGCCGGTCGTCGCAGCTCTCGATACGGCGCTCAATATGGCGCTTGATCTTCTGACTGAGCATGCGGAGCGGCCCATACGGCGCACACATGCTCCCACCTGCCACCCTTTGAACGTCCTCCCCCACGCATGCTGGCATGCCTGCAGCACGGTCACTAGGGAGGGACGAAAGGCAGAGGGGGGGGTTCTGAGACTCCTGAGCAATAGAGCAGCAACGCAAAACGTTCCTTCCTTTCCCTGCCTGGCAATCGCCTCGTTACAACTTCCACGCAGCTGCTGCTGCCGAATCACTCACCTTCCGCCTCACTCCTCCCACCTGCCGGCAAGCAAAGCTCACAGCACAGCGGACATGACCAGAGAGGACCAGACCAGACCGGACCAGATCCGAGCAGAGCAGAAAAGACCTTAACGCCGGACCACCAGGCCATTACACGGCCTCACGCCAAACTCACAGCGGACGCAAGCTGGCGGAATGGCGGCGGGCGGAACAGGACGAGCTGAAGGGAAGAGCTGAAGGGAAAGGGATGGTTTACGCTCGGCGCGATTCTTTAAGAAGCAGGATTGCATCAAGGGGTGGGGGCAGGCTGCCGTTCGCCATCGCACAGTGGACAGCGGCGGACTGCAGATGCGCGCTAGTGGGACGGCGGCGGGTTCCCTCAGGAACGAAAGTAGCTCAAGGGAAATGGATGAAATACGCTTGGAGCGACTCTCTAACAGGCAGGATTGCGTTCAGATTTGGGGCAAACTGCCGTTCCCCAATCTTTAGATGATGAACGGCGTTGCGACGTGGCCAAGTGGCGGCGCGACGTGGGGAAAGGTGGCGCGACGAGGCGAACTGAAGGCGTGACATGGCGGAGTGGCGGCGTGACGTGCGAAATGGCTTCGTGACATGGCGAGGGCTTGACGTGGCGACATGGCAGCGCGAGACGGCGAAATGACGATGTGACATGACGAAATAGCGGCGTTACATGGCGAGATGGCAGAGTGACATGCGAAATGGGTGCGAGACATGGCTACGTCGAAGCGCGACGCAGCGAAATGATGGTGTGACATGGCGAAATGGCAGCGCGACATGGCGAAATGGGGGCTTGACATGCCGACATAACAGCGCGACGCGGCAAAATGACGGCGTGACATTGCGAGATGACGGCGTGACATTGCGAGATGACAGCGTGACATTGGAAAGTCGCAGCGTGGCGAAAGGAAAGCACTACACGGACCTTGGGAGGGGTACAATAGGCACACTGCAAAACACGTCAGACTGCGGCGAAACACGTCGGCAGGAAGAGCATAAGCGCGCCGAGCCGATTGCTCAGAGCACCCATCACAACGACTAATCCTGGCAGGATCGACAGTGAAGCATAGCATTTAATTTCTAGGCGCCTAAATAAAGACTGACACCGCACAGCAGATCCTACTTCTGAAGCCTCGAATGTGAAATCCACGATCGTGGGTTGATGGGTCTACTTAGCTTTCTGCTCGAAGAGCGGCTTCTGAAGGCGACCGAGGAGAGAGCGGAGGAGGCTGCTGAGGCGGGTTCGTTTGGATTGGTTGTGCCTGCTGAAAGCAAACTCATAATTCCGAGCTCGTTTTTTAGGTTGCGAAGCAACCCTTTATAATCGATTTTGCCAAATTTTATTTTTGGGTTGCGAAGCAACCCTTTATAATAGATTTTGCCAAATTTTATTTTCATATTTATATTTTTATAAATAATTAAAATAAAATTTGTAAACTACAATCGTATCCTGTCCATACTGTATGCATGTTGAGCAGTTTTAAATACAGTACTATTATCAGTGCACTAAACCATATGTTTTTTTTTTTTGCTGTTGTTTTGTGCACCTTTGTTGTACTGTTTGGTTTATATGTTTATTGTTACGGTAGATGTTGTTGTGACAATAATAAATAGATGCATGCATAATGCATAAATGATACTATACAATGCATAATGCTTAATGTGATATATCATGAATGATGCACATGCACACGATACCGTAATATGCGTGACAGTTAACAACCCAAAAACTAAGCTACTGTGAAAATATTAGGTGTGGGGCCTAGGCTTAGTAGCCTAGGCCCACACTAGGAGATAGGTAAGTTCGAGTGGGTTAGGTGAGAGTCGAGAAATTGGAAGGGAAGAGGAGTGACTAGCAAGAGTTGGGATACAAGTACATTGCCCTAAATTGGGTTGTACTCATTACAGAGTACCCCACTGCAGGCTAGACAGCAAATATATTCTGACACACCCCCATAGCCAAAGTGGGGTGAAATCAGCAGAGCAGGCAAAACAGTACAAGCTCAGGGTGGATCACAATGTCACCACACATTCTGAGCACAAGTTCAAGAAGCAATAGTTAAAGTGCACAATTATCAGCAAAGCTAGTGGTGGTCACAACGGGCAGGTGAGGAGGAGGAGGGAGAGTGAGAGGAGAGGAGATGGGAGGCGACTGCTGAAGCTGCAGACACACGGGCAACAGGAGCGGCTGGCACAGTGGCTACCGGGACAGCGCCCCGGACTACTGGAGTAACTGGCTCGGCGGCTACGAAGAGCGGCAGGAGCAACGGACCCACGGGCGACAGGCGCAGCAGGCTCACTGGGCTACCAGGACAGCGCCCCGGACTACAGGTGCTGCGGACTACAAGACGGCAGCCTCCGCTCAACCTCCCACAAACAGTCCCACCCCCCTGACACACACCCGCTGCTACACCCCTAGCTCCACTCCCACGCACCCCCCTTAAACCCTAAACCCCAGTCTCCCACACAACCACCCCCCTCAGCGACAGCTGCAGCAGTGGGAGACGACGGAGGAGGAGAAGGAAGGGGCGACACAAACGGAGCACCCCCACACCCGCAAACGGGGGGGGGGGGGGGGGGGGGGGGGGGACAGTGCGCACGAGGGCGCAGACAGTAGCAGAGCGCACGGGGGCGCGAGCACGAGACACGGGCAGCAACAGGCACGGGCAGCACAGGCACGGGCAGCACAGGCACGGGCAGCACAGGCACGGGCAGCAACAGGCACAGGCAGCACAGGCACGGGCAGCACAGGCACGGGCAGCACAGGCACGGGCAGCACAGGCACGGGCAGCAACAAGCACGGGCAGCACGGGCACGGGCAGCACAGGCACGGGCAGCACAGGCACGGGCAGCACAGGCACGGGCAGCAACAGGCACGGGCAGCACAGGCACGGGCAGCAACAGGCACGGGCAGCACAGGCACGGGCAGCACAGGCACGGGCAGCAACAGGCACAGGCAGCACAGGCACGGGCAGCACAGGCACGGGCAGCACAGGCACGGGCAGCAACAGGCACGGGCAGCACAGGCACGGGCAGCACAGGCACGGGCAGCACAGGCACGGGCAGCAACAGGCACGGGCAGCACAGGCACGGGCAGCACAGGCACGGGCAGCACAGGCACGGGCAGCAACAGGCACAGGCAGCACAGGCACGGGCAGCACAGGCACGGGCAGCACAGGCACGGGCAGCACAGGCACGGGCAGCAACAGGCAGGCAGCACAGGCACGGGCAGCACAGGCACGGGCAGCACAGGCACGGGCAGCACAGGCACGGGCAGCACAGGCACGGGCAGCACAGGCACGGGCAGCACAGGCACGGGCAGCACAGGCACGGGCAGCACAGGCACGGGCAGCAACAGGCACGGGCAGCACAGGCACGGGCAGCAACAGGCACGGGCAGCACAGGCACGGGCAGCACAGGCACGGGCAGCAACAGGCACGGGCAGCACAGGCACGGGCAGCACAGGCACGGGCAGCACAGGCACGGGCAGCACAGGCACGGGCAGCAACAGGCACGTGCAGCACAAGGCGTACCGGGTCCAGGGGCGGCTTCTGGGGTCCAGGGGCGGCACCTGCAGCTGGGCGGCGGTAGCTGCTGCGGCAGAGCGGCGGCGGCTGCTGCTGCTGATAGAGCGGCGGCTGCTGCTGCTGGGTCGGTGGCGGCAGCTGCTGCAGGTCTGGCGGCGGCTGCTGCTGCAGACTCTGGCGGCGGCTGCTGCTGTAGACTCTGGCGGCGGCTGCTGCTGCAGGCTCTGGCGGCGGCTGCTGCTGCAGGCTCTGGCGGCGGCTGCTGCTGCAGACCCTGGCGGCGGCTGCTGCTGAAGACCCTGGCGGCGGCTGCTGCAGCAGGCTCTGGCGGCGGCTGCTGCTGCAGACCCTGGCGGCGGCTGCTGCTGTAGGCCTGGCGGCGGCTGCTGCTGCAGGGCGGCGGCGGCTGCTGCTGCAGGAACTGACGGCGCCCCGCGGGTCCCGCATGGGGCGTCGCGACGAGCAGGGGCGACGCCCCGCGGGTCCCGCACGGACGTCGCGACGAGCAGGGGCGACGCCCCGCGGGTCCCGCACGGACGTCGCGACAAGTAGGGCGGCGCCGCGCGGGTCCCGCACGGACGTCGCGACGAGCAGGGGCGACGCCCCGCGGGTCCCGCACGGACGTCGCGACAAGTAGGGCGGCGCCGCGCGGGTCCCGCACGGACGTCGCGATGAGCAGGGGCGACGCCCCGCGGGTCCCGCACGGACGTCGCGACGAGCAGGGTGACGCCGCGCGGGTCCCGCACGGGCGTCGCGACGAGCAGCGGGGAGGGCAGCGCGCAGGCCCCCCGAGGGCGCTTCGAAGGACGGGAAAACCGCCGCGCGCCCCGAGCGCACGGCGGGATGAAAAACTCCGAAATCCTAAAAAAAATTTCGCAGGAAGAAGGACTGCAGCGGAAGCATAGGGGCCCACAGGCCAAGGTAGAACGGGCTCTGATAACATGTGAAAATATTAGGTGTGGGGCCTAGGCTTAGTAGCCTAGGCCCACACTAGGAGATAGGTAAGTTCGAGTGGGTTAGGTGAGAGTCGAGAAATTGGAAGGGAAGAGGAGTGACTAGCAAGAGTTGGGATACAAGTACATTGCCCTAAATTGGGTTGTACTCATTACAGAGTACCCCACTGCAGGCTAGACAGCAAATATATTCTGACAGCTACCGCCATCCCCTGCCTAGCATGGGGGGGAGGTCAATAGCTTAACTTTTGAATAATCAACTGTCACATAAAACAACACAATCTGTGAAATCTAAAAAAAAAGTCAACTCTATCAAATCCAGTTTGAAGTGGTCGCACACGAGTCACTGAGTGCGCCAATGAACCTTTTGTGAAAAGATAGAGTTGAGCTTTCTTTTTAAAAATCACAGACATGCATAGTTGTTGTAATGGTTGAATTTACACACGCATACGCATGCATATAGACACATACATACATATGTACATTCATACATACACACATTACCGGTACATACATATACATATGTCAGAATGTTATTGTTCTCTAGCCTGTAGTGGGGTGCTCTATAGCGAGTACAACCCTTCTAGGGTTTGCTATTTGTATCCTCATTGCTGCTAGTGATCCCCCTTTTTTCCCTAAATCGTTTCTTGCCTAGCTAGGGCTTTCCTAGCCATGGCTCCTACTATTAACTACCTATTTTCACATGGTTATCAGAGCAGTAAGCTCCTGGCCTGTGGGCCCCACCACACTCCTTCCGCTGCAACTGCTACTCTCCCTTTTCGCCGTGCGCCCCGAGGCGCGCGGCGGGTTTCTGCCGCGTCACGCCGCGCGCCGCTCCCGGGAGGCGCTGCGACGGGCGACGGGGACTCGCGCGTCGCCCTCCGTCGCCCGTCGTGGCCTGCGCGCGGCTCGTACAGGCTGCGCGCGGCCCGTAACGGCTGCGCCAGGCCCGGACGCGGCCCGTATGGACTGCGCCAGGCCAGCGCGCGGCTCGTACGGGCTGCGCCGGGCCCGCGCGCGGCCCGTACGGGCTGCGCCAGGCCCGTGCGGGGCTCGGGCCGCCTGCGCGCGGTTCGGGCGGCTGTGCCAGGCCCGTGGGCGGCCCTTTCCTCGCTGCCCCTGCCCTCCCCGCTGTCCCCCGTGCTTCTATTGATGCCCCACCCCTCCTACAGCTCGTTCTCCTGAATTAGGGTTTGGGGGTGAGGGGTATGGGGGTGAAGCCACTGTGAGCTGTTCCCTGCTCCTCCTCCTCCTCCGTCTCCCTGTGCTGTAGCTGCTGCTGAGGGGGGGTGGACTTGTTGGAGCCGTTGGAGTGGTACTAAGGGGGGGTGAAGGGGGAGTGGAGCTAGCGGTCTAGCAGCGGGTGTGTGTCAAGGGGAGTGGGATAGTTTGGGGAGGTTGAAGGGGGTGGTCGTCGTGAAGCCAGCAGCTCCAGTCGCCCGTGAGACCGTTGCGCCAGTCGCCCGTAAGCCCGTTGCGCCAGTCGCCCGTGAGCCCGTTGCTCTAGTCGCCCGTGAGTCCGTTGCTCGTCTGCCGCTACTTTTAGCCGCGGAGCCAGTTACTCCAGTAGCCCGTGTGCAAGTTGCTCCAGTTGCTAGTGTGCTAGTTGCTCCAGTTGCCCGTGTGCCAGTTGCTCCAGTTGCACTGTGTGCCAGCAGCTTCAGCTGCCGCCCACTACCTCCTCTCCTCTCATAGTCTCTTTCCTCCTCCTCACTTGCCCGTTATGACTACTACTAGCTTCGCTCATAATTGTGAACTTTAAACTATTTCTTCTTGAACTTGTGCTCAGAATGTGTGGTGACATTGTGATCCACCTTGAGCTTATTCTACTTTGTTTGCTCTGCTGATTACACCCCACTTTGGCTATGGGGGTGTGTCAGAATGTTATTGTTCTCTAGCCTGTAGTGGGGTGCTCTATAGCGAGTACAACTCTTCTAGGGTTTGCTATTTCTATCCTCATTGCTGCTAGTGATCCCCCTTTTTTCCCTAAATCGTTTCTTGCCTAGCTAGGGATTTTCTAGCCATGGCTCCTACTGTTAACTACCTATTTTCACAACATACACACTTACATACGCATAACCAAACATACTTACTCACACAAAGATAATTAGTCATGCAATCATTTGCAGTTGACGAATAGAACGACCCCAAAAGCAAAATCCATATGGCATTGTCTAGTTTATCTCCCACCCACATTTCTTTAACTAGATTGTTTCAAAAAGACCCAGAGAAAAAACAAATGATTCTTAACCAACTTCATGCGTCTCGGTCTTCACCGTTGCTGCAAGAATTCGAAATTTGAAATAAATAAATCAATGGAACATCATTAGTAGTTACATGACATAAAGATTGTTTAGCAAAGCAAAACACCAAGTGAATATTATTATTCCATGCACGTCAAACCTCCTCATTGTAGGTGTGGACGATGGGTGGGAGCTCGCCGTGTCAAAGTTGACAGTGTCGACGTTTGACTTCGGGACGCTTGAGATGTCAACAATGGTCTTGTAGATGCGCCCCCCCTCAAGTCCAAAGTGAACCTGAAGGGGGGAAAGAGTATAAATGATAAAAAAATGTAATATTCATCAACAGTGACTAAATCTAAAGAATATAAACTCGTACCTTAACGAGCCAGCGACCTTGAAGAGCACCTAGTAGAGTTTGGCGCTCATCCGAGGGCAAGGAAAGAAATGTAGACATTTGGAGATGTGGGATTACTTTTGTCAAGAGGCTTGGTTGAACCACCAAACCGTAGGCTTGGTTCTTGAATGACGCTGAAATTTTTGAGCAAAACAAAACAATATTTAATGCCTTGACAAAACGTCTAACACTGTACACAAAAGCATACAAGTACCTTACTTACCGTTCTTGTGTACGACAAGTGTCATCGTCGTGTTTTCGATCCGGGTGATCGAAGTGGATCCATGCCTCGAGCACGAATGCTCGCGTGTGGCACAGGATCTGAAAACTGCCAGTGGACAAAAACCCTTCGATCCACCCTTTGAGAAAACTGAAACGAGAATGAAATGACTAAGTGAAAGTTGGGTACAAATACAACCCTAGAAAGTTGTACCCCATATGTGCTACCCCACTATAGCCTACAACAGCTATGTCATACAAATCTGACACCCTTGCACACCGTGCGCGAGGTGTGCAAAGGATCCTTGATCTCAGCTACGAGAGACGCTATCTTCTGTTTCCTAGTTGTCATTACAACTGTGTCCACATTACTCATCCCGAATACGAGAAACGGAAGAGTTACTTTCGAGCGTCTCACTTAGAAAATGTTCAAATGCGCATGCTATGTTCACTTACAGCGACACGAGCCCGACGTCTTGCGGTTCCGCCGTGTCGGGGGCATCTGTGATCTCCGATGGTCGTCGAGTGTCAAGAATGGCAACATCCGAAAGCATCGTTGTCGTGAACAAACCCGACTTTAGATAGACATTGCTAATGTAGACAGGCACGTCTGTAGCATCTGAGTGTTGATCCAGGTATGTCTTACAGCACTGGTGGATCCGCGTGGCAACGTCCCCCAGCGATACCAGGACACTCTCAAGGGAGGAATCCTAGATGATCGCTGTAAGATTGGGCAATCCACTTGGCTCTTCGTATGTTGTGGCTTTGAGTCTGACAGAAACGCAAGGGATCTGGTAATACAGAAGAGCAAAATGTCATCAAGTGTTGGAATAACTGAACAGGAATGGATGAACTAGGAGTGAAAACAGTACAAATACCTAACCCTAGAATTGTGTACCCCCTACAGGCTAACCCACTGTAGCCTAAACAAGTACAACAACATGTATAATGTTTAACATAAAGAAGATTACGAAAATTATGAAAAGATAATTGAGAGTAAAAGCATGATCAACACAAACATGAATACAACAACGCACTTATCACTTTAACGAGGACCACACATAAAGTTAGATGTGCTTTAGTGAGTTACTGTCAGAACATTATAGCTTATGCTTTTGTGTAGGCTATAGTGGGGTATCCCATAGGGGGTACAACCCAATTAGGGTTGGTACTTGTACTCACACATTTCATAGTTCACTCATTCGTGTTCTTTGTTTTCACATGGAATCAGAGCAGGTTCCCTCCTAGGGACTGCTTCCAGGGCCCACCGAAGCGCGCCCCGAGGAGCGTTTTCCTTTTTTTTTAGCGACCCTCCGTGTCGCCCCTAGCGGCCCGTCGCGCCGCCCTTACCTACGCGGCCCCGCCGCCCTTACATCGCGGCCCCGCCGCCCTTACCTACGCGGCCCCGCCGCCCTTCCTTCGCGGCCCCGCCGCCCTGCACGTCGCGGCCCCGCCGCCCTGCACGTCGCGGCCCCGCCGCCCTTCATTCGCGGCCCCGCCGCCCTGCACGTCGCGGCCCCGCTGCCCTGCACGACGCGGCCCCGCCGCCCTTCCTTCGCGGCCCCGCCGCCCTGCTCACGCGGCCCCGCCGCCCTGCACTTCGTGGCCTCGCCGCCCTTCATTCGCGGCCCCGCCGCC